AGAATGAGATGGCTGGATGGAGTCACTGAAGCAGTAGGTGTGAATTTAAATGGACTCCAGAAGATGGTAGAGGACAGGAAGACCTGGAGGAACGTTGTCCATGGGGTCGCGATGGGTCGGACACGACTTCGCAATTAACAACAATTAACAAGATACACTTGAGAAAGCACAGGACTTTTATGAGAGTTACTTTTCACAAGGAGAAGAACAAGAAAGTAGGGAAGAGCCGGAGAGTAAAAGTTACAATGAAGATTTATTAGAGGAAGTTGATCGAGAACGAGAAATACAAAAGTTACAAGAAAGAGAAAGGTTAGAAAGAGAAGCAAAAGGAAGACTTATAGAGACAAGAAGCATAAAAAAAAATAAAAATAAAAAAATAGATCAAGTAAAAAATGGGAGACGTAATTAAGCTCTTTTCTGTAAACATTAATGGATTAAATATATCAAGAAAAAGAGTTTAAACATTTAACAATTTAAGGAAATTGGATGTAGATGTGAGGTATCTTTAGGAAGTTTATATAAAATAGGATTATAGAAAACTACTAGAGAAAGTAAAATTTAGAAATATTATACAGAATATTAGCGTAAAACAAGAAAGGAGGAATTATTATATATATGTAAAAGAAAAAATAAAATCAGATCAATATATTTGGATGAAAAGGGGTGAATTTTAATGTTGGAAATAACGTGAATCTTTTTTTAAAAAATAAGGTATATAAGAAGCTAGTGGATTTGGATTATGAGAATATTTGTATGATCACCAGGCCTAGATGGAATCCTGGTCGAGTCCTATAAAAAATACGAGAGTTACTACAATGAATAATGTTGGAAATTTAAAATGAGGTGTTGGTAGAGGCGATATGTGTATAATAATGTATAATAATATTAATATGAATTATTCCTAGTAAGTAGTAGAATATGAAGGAAGGAAAACGTAAATAAGAAACAATGGGGCAATAAGGACAAATATTTCAAAGAAGAATGAGGGGGGAAATGTAAATAATAGAAGAGTACTGTTACAAATTGCTGTTAACAAAAAAAGGATATATTATGTTTGTATGTGTGTAATGTTTTGCTGTGTTTTGTTTTGTTTTGTTGGTCTAAAATAAAAAAAACGTCAACTGGACTTTTTTTGATTTTTTTTTCTTTGAAGCTATTGCTTCTCATCCAAGAAGTCTCCTCAGAAGTGAAGCAGCTTCTTGGATGAGAAGTGAAACGTCTTCAAAGAAAAAACAAGAAAGCCCAGTTGCCTTTTGAAAAGCACCTTTGAAACAATCATGACCTGAATGACTGAGAATCTCCATAGACAAGTTCTAGGACATTATTTGATTGGATCAAAAAGCAATATTATAAAAGTATAGGGAAGGGATATGGAGTTGGATGTCTATGGAGATTCTCAATCATCCAGGTAATGGGTGTCCCATAGGTGCTTTTTCAAAAGGCAACTGGATTTTCTTGGTTTTCCTGGAGTAACAGGTGGCAAAGTAGCAGGCAGCAGAGAGAAAGCAAAACTGCTTAACTCATTCTTTCCATCAATCTTCACACAAAAAAAGCCCAATCTACCAAAAACCTAACTGTAAAAGGCAGACTAGAAATAAAAATCACAATAAGCAAGAAATGGTTAGAGAACACCTATCTGATCTTCATAAATATAAATCACTGGAACCTGATGGATTACATCCCGGAGTTCTGAAGGAACTGGCAGATGTTATTTTAGAACTATTGTATCTTTAAAAAATCTTGGAACACGGGGGAACTACCAGAGAATTGGGAAAGATCTGATGTGGTTCCCATCTTCAAAAAAGGGAAAAAAACAGACCCAGGAAACTACAGACCAATCAGCCTAACATCAATACCTGGAAAGATACTGGAAAAGATAATAAAAAAACAGATCTGCGAATATCTAAAAAAAAATAAAGTTATAACTAGAAGCCAGCATGGGTTTGTTAAAAATAGATCATGCCAAAGCAATCTGATTTCATTCTTTAACAAAGTGACTAAATTAGTAGACCAGCAAAATGTGAGATAGACAACATCACCACCAGATGGATTTGTAACTGGCTGACAAATTGTACTCAACGAGTAGTTCTATATGGAGGAAAGTAAGCAGTAGGATACCACAAAGTTCTGTCTTATGCCCAGTACTCTTCAATATTTTCATAAATGGCTTAGATGAGGGAATAAAAGGGGATCTCATCAAATTTGTAGATGACACTAAACTGGCAAACAGCCAACACTCCAGAAGACAAGCTCAGGATCCAAAAAGATCTTGACAGACTTGAACAATATCCAACAAAATGAAATTTAATGTGGAAAAAAGCAACATTTTACATTTAGGCAGGAAAAATCAAAGATTTAAATACAGATTAGGTGAGACCTGGTTCAAAAACAGCAAATGTGAGAGGGACCTTGGAGTCCTAGGGGACGATCACTTGACTATGAGCCAACAGTGTGCAGCAACAGCCAAAAAAGCTAATACAATCCCGGGTTGTATAAACAGAGGCATAGAATCAAGATCACATGAAGTATTAGTACCGCTTTATAAAACCCTAGTGAGACCACACCTGGAATACTGCAACCAAATTTGATCACTATATTACAAAAAAGATGTTGAGACTTTGGAAACAGTACAGACAAGAGCAACTAAGATGATCAAAGGCCTGGAGATTAAAACATATGAAGAATGGCTGCAGGACTTGGGTTTGGCTAGTTTAAAGAAAAGAAGAAATAGGGGTGACAGATAGCAATATTCAGTATTTGAGGGGCTGCCACAAAGAAGAGGGGGTCAAATTATTCTCCAAAGCACCAGAGGGCAGGAAAAGAAACAATGATTGGAAACTGATCAAAGAAAGAAGCAACCTGGAATTAAGGAGAAATTTCCTAACAGTGAGGACAATTAACCGATGGAACAGCTTGCCTTCAGAAATTGTGGGCACTCCATCACTGGAGGTTTTTAAGAAGAGACTAGACAGTCACCTGTCTGAGATGGTATAGGTTCTCCTGCTTGAGCAGGGGGCTGGACTAGAAGACCTCCATGGTCCCTTTTTATTCCATTCTATTCTATTCTATTCTGTTTCATTTCTACTTGTTTGTTAAAAACAGATCATGCCAGAAAATCTTATTACCTTTTTTTTTTACAATGTCACATAATTAGTGGACCAGCTAAATGCTGTAGATATAATTTACTTGGACTTCAGTAAGGCATTTGATAAAGTAGATCACAACCTATTATTTGATAAGACAGAAAAATGTGGATTAGAGCAGATGGATTTGTAACTGGCTGAGCAACTACATTCAATGTGTAGTCCTTAATGGAAATGCATCTACATGGAGAGAAGCATGCAGTGGGGGGATTCTGTCTTAGGCTCAATACTATTCCATAGCTTCATAAATGATTTAGATGAAAGAATAGAAGGGGAACTCATCAAATTTGCAGGTAACACCAATCTGACTGGAACAGCCAACACTCCAGAAAATAGGATCAAGATACAAAAGGATCCTGACAAACCTGAATACTGCTCCCTATCTAACAAAATGAAATTCAGTGGTGATAAGGTAAGTTTTACACTTAGGCAAAACAAAAACAAAAAAACCCAAATGCACAGTATAGAATAGATAGTTCCTTGCTCAATAATAGTAACTGTGAAAAGGATCTTGGATTTATATATGAGTCAGCGGTGTGCTGCAGCTGCAAATAAGCTAACATAGTCATAAGCTGTATTAACAAGGGATAGAATCAATATCACATGAAGTATTAGTGCTACTTTATAATGCCTTGATAAGACTACACTTGGAATATTGCATGATATAAAAAAGATGTTGAGATTCAGAAGGAGTGCAGAGAAGAGCAATAAAGATTATTAGGGGACTGGAGGCTACAACAAACGAAGAATGGTTGCAGAAAATGGGTATGTCTAGTTTAATGAAACAAAGAACTGGGGTGACATGATAACAGTGGTTAATCTATTCTCCAAAGCACCAGAGTGCTAGGAGCAGTTAAAATCCTGTGCAGAACTCTCAAATTCCCAGGCCTCTGGTAGAGGATCCACTATTGAGGAAAACATGTACCACCCATAAGGGCGAAAAATGAATTTTTTATATATAGTTGTGTGTTATATGTATAATCTAGAAAAAAAAGTGGAATAACAATTAGAACAAGTCTCATGGTTTCTTTGATGCTATGTCAATTTAATATGACAAGAGAAAAAAGATGGAATTTGCAAATAGACATCTAACTATTTTTGGAAAAAAATATTCACAAAACATAATGGCATAATTTCAAAGTTTTATTAGATTTTAAAAGAAATTATGGTGAATCTATCTCAGGGCTAAAATGAGTCCGTGATTCAGGTGAAACAATTAAGCAATAACATTTGGCAATCTCTATTCAGCATCAAAAATTTTTTTATGAGTATCCATGCAGGAATTGCATCTGAAAATTTACAATAGTGGCATCAAGCCCCAATAAGAATCTCACATATATCTTTTCAATATTCAGTAAAAAGTTGGGAAAATATAGATGAGGCTGAAGAGATGGCAATCAAAGTAAATATTCTTTTATCTTTGGTGAGAATACAATAAAATATTGGAATTTTGGAAGAATGTTCTTAAAAATGTCTGACACAAAATAATAACCATCAAATATGCTATATATCTTTGATGGGCAGAATAAGAAATAGAAATAAGAATAAGAAATAGCGTACATGTCATACCAAAGATGGAAGAATGTTATCTAACCTGTCCTTTATATAAAAAATAGGGAGAGTGAAAAAGAGGGGATAGTTCCTCATCCTCATCTATATCTTACTACTTATTTGGGATCAGGGGCTCATGAAAAGATAATGCCACTGGTTTGGGACCACCAATGCTCTAATCCAGGGGTCTTCAAATTTGCCTGGCTGAGGAATTCTGGGAGATGAAGTCCACAAGTCATAAAAGGGCCAACAAGTAATAGTCAAAACAAACACAGACAAGAATCCATTAATTCTAGTAAGGTTCACCTTTCTGGCATTTCTTCACAGCTTCTTTCTGACTTAGAATAATTTCCATGTGGAATGCATAGCAATGGTTTCGGAAAGGAACCCAAGAGGAATCTTCTATTGTTTTAGGACAACTTCCATTGTAGCTCCACTTGTGTGAAGAAAGGGGTCCTGAAGTAGAATACATGGTTAGAAGAAACTTAGCAAATACTTACATTGTTATTAGTCATTAAAAACAAATGACAAAATGATTTTTTTTCTGACCCCTTCATTAAAATTCAGGGAATGAGAGAAGAGAGTCTTTATTTCAGCATTCCCTCTTATCTGTATAGCTATCATATAGGTAAATTACCTATGTTCAACTTGCAGATGGCCCCTTGAAGCTTTGTGTCACAATTGGCAGTTCGCCATGTTCCATCTATATCCATGTATGCACACCCCACAATTTGTTGTGGTTCTCCATCTTGCCAGTTTGTGTAGGGGACAGTCTCATCTGCAAACCATCCATAATTACGTTTCCCCTAAAAAAAGTTAATACATATAAAGTTTTGCCACACTGGACTGATCAATCTCGCTACAAAATATTTGATGTCATATATTTATAATTATGCTATACTGAATGATCCTCACATGTACTACAGGATCACACTGATAATATGTCTCTATAGGAGATTTTGGAAATGTGAACCAGTCAGCATTCACTACTTCCTTATAGCTTCACCATTTGCTATTCCAGAGCAACGATTTAGCCAACACATAAACTCAGACAATGTCAGACCCCTAGATATGCTTTCATTTTTTGCATCTACTACATGCAAGGCAGGTTTGATTTACATGCTAAGATTTCTAAATATAGTTGACTCACCTCTTCATTGGACAAACCAATCCAGAGTGGGGTATGTAAACTGCTGACTATCTGAGTGAGGAAGGCCTGGGTGAATGGTTCTAACACATTTGCTAGACTTCCATTGAGACTCTCACATAACAACACAGCTTCATGCCATTTGAGCGGCTTCATCAGGACACGGTAAGTATTGTTAAGATATGAAAGGGTAGAGTTGAGAATAGGAGAGGACGGTGAAGAAGGGTTTAAAGTAGGGTCTTGGGTGTGGGGGAAGAATTTGAGAAAAAGAAAATAAAAGCTCAGTCACACTTTACAAATATACCCTAGAGCCATTAACAAAGCAATATTGATTTTATTCAAAAATTATGAGCAATTTGCTGAATATCAAGTAGTTTCTTAGTGTTTACTCCATTTCACTAAAAAGAGTTATCTTCTTATCATTTCTGTGAAATAGAACTTTAGTTCTTCCTGGAAGCCACTGTATAAGGATGGTGGGAAAACCAAGATATATCTATAGATACTAATTAATTTAATTCTTTAGCTAGGAAACCTTACTCCTCCTCTATGTAGTTTGACCAGGATAAGGCAGATGAGGATAAACGAGAGAAGAACGTTAACCTCTCTATTCTACTTCTGACCCTTGTCAAAGACTGTTTTCTCATTGTTAATAAAAAACGAGGATGGATGTATCTGTTCCCTATCTTATTTAATCAGTTGGAGTAAGGAAAACTGGATAGAACCCCTGCATCAGATACATGTTGCAGAGAGAAATCAAGAGCCATAGCATCCTGAATAAGTGCTCACCAAAACAGCATCTTCAAGACTAATGGGCTTTGGCAATAAACAAATTAAGAGTCAGGAAGCATTTTTAAGACTAATCAATTTTATTGGGGCATATTCTGTGATGAGAAGCAGCAGCTTTTATGAACATGCATGTAATTGATGAACAAAATTACTGCTCATGAAATCATATGCCTCAAGTTGGCCAGTCTTGAAGGTGCTACCAGATTCTTGTATCTGCGTTGTTGCCACAGACTAATGTAATTCTTCCTCCCTTGTACACAACAGAAATGAATGGCATCATCCCTGGCACAAGGACTCAAAATTATCACAAGCCCTCTCTGCTAAATATAACAAGCCAATCTTATTTTCTTGCATTATTTCTCTTACCTTTGCTTCTCTGGCAGATAAAAATATGTTTCTCCTCTTGGCAGTTCCTATCATCCCAACGCCCTGTAAACAGGGAAGGGAGGCCATGCCACATTACAGCACAGTTGGTCTATGAAAAATAGAACCAGGAAAATCAAAATCATACACCTGCAATCACAATGAGACGGTAGCTATCAAACAACATCAAGAATTGTCTAAGCGTCTGCTGGCTTATGACCAAATAAATATTTATTTGATTAATGGATTGTGTCCACACTGAATTGTTCAATTCTTGTCTTACGATTATTGCAACGTGTCACATATGAAACTGCTCTTGGCAAATATTACAAGTCTATAGGCAAAGCAGAACAGACAATGGGTTCCAGAGAAACACAAAAGCAAGAAACACACTAAACACTAAACCACGTTGTGGTTTTCACATAGCTTATTATACTTGAATAATAATCATATTGTGGAATAAATAAGCGTGATAGCTTAGTATACACAATATACTGACCCAGTTACCTGATTCCTGCAATATGTCAAATCACAAACTATCCTATTCAATTTTAGTTCATGCTACATGAACCCAGCCAAGCTGCTACTTCATCTTTACCAAACTTTGGAACTCATTGCTATTGACAGTAGTCCTCGACTTAAGATCACAATTGGGCCTGGAATTTCGGTTGCAAGTCATTGTGGTAGTTAAGTTAGGTGCCCATATAACCACTTAATTCCACAACTGCAATCCCAACACTTTCAATTGTAGATACTAAGTGACTACATTAGTCAATTAAATAGACAGAGGAGAATAATAGAATAACAGAGTTGGAAGGGATCTTGGAAATCTTCTAGTCCAACTCACTGCTAAAGCAGGAGACCTTATAGCATTTCAGACAAATGACTGTTCAATCTCCTTAAAAAGAAAGAGCTGCCTGCCAAAAGAGGGCAAAAGAGAATTTTTGCATTGGGTCATGCAAAAAAAGATCCCAAAGATTAAAGCTTTGTTTCTTCGGCCCACTACAGGCCTTCCCCTCCTTTCCATGTGAAGAAGGGAACTGCCTCACTGGGGTGAAAAAAGGTAGAATAGAATAGAATGGAATGGGAATGGGATGGAACAGGAACAGAAACAAGAACAGGACAAGAATAGAATAGAATAGAATAGAATAACAGAGTTGTAAGGGACCTTGGAGGCCTTCTAGTCGAACCCCCTGCTTAGGCAGGAAACCCTATACCACTTCAGACAAATGACTGTACAATCTCTTCTTAAAAACTTCCAGTGTTGGAGCATTCACAACTTTTGGAGGCAAGATGTTCCACTGATTAATTGTTCTAACCGTCAGAAAATTTCTCCTTAGATATACGTTCCTTCTTTTCTTGATTATTTTCCATCCGTTGCTTCTTATCCTGCCCTCAGATGCTTTGGAGAATAGCTTGACTCCCTCTTCTTTGTGGCAGGGCCTGAGATATTGGAACACTGCTATCGTGTCCCCCCTCATCCTCCTCTTCATTAAACTAGACATACCCAATTCCAGCAACCGTTCCTTATATGTTTGAGCCTCCAGTCCCCTAATCATCTTTATTCCTCTTCTCTGTACTAACTTGGGTTTCTAATCTATTTTTATGGTACTGTTTTGGATAGGTTGGACTGTTTTTTCCCTTTGTGTAAAGACAGATGCAAAAAATGAGTTAAATAGTTCTGCTTTCTCCCTGTTGCTTGTCACCTTCTTGCCCTTTCCCCCACTAATGGACCAATCATTTCCTAACCTTTTTCTTGTTTTTTACATGTTGAAAGAAGCTTTTTTTTGTTGTTATTTTTGACTTCGGCTGCAAGCCTTAGTTCATTTTGATCCTTAGCTTTCCTCACTTCATCTTTGCAGGCTCGGACTGTTTGCTGATATTCTGCTTTAGTTATGTGCCCTCTTTCCACTTTTTATATTTGTCCTTTTTATCTTTCAATTTATCAGAGAATTCTTTATGCAGCCATGCTGGTTTCTTTTGAGAGCTGTTATTTTTCTTCTTTGTTGGTATTGTGCTAGACTAGGCTTTTATTATCTCACTTTTCAAAATTTCCCAAGCTTCTTGAGTTGTTTTTCCCATGAGGATTCTCATCCATGGAATCCTTCCCAAGCTCTAAGTTTATTGAAATTAGCTGTCTTAAAGTCCAAGATTCTAGTTTGACTGTGTTCTATTTCTTGTGCTTCCATAATGTTGAATTCCAATATTGCATGATCACTTCCCCCCAAGGTTCCTGTGGCTTCAACACCTTCTATCATTTCATCTCTGTTAGTGAGGATTAGATTCAATATGGCTAATCCCCTAGTTCCCTTCTCTACTTTTTGGCAAGCAAAGTTGTCTGCTAGGTTTGTCAGGAATCTGTTTGATCTTCTACTTGGTGCAGAGTTTGTCTCCCAGTTGATGTCAGGGTAATTAAAGTCCCCCATTACTATTGCGATGTGTTTACTACATACCTTAGTTACAAAAAGTTAATCTATTTTCTCTGTTTGGTTGGGTGGCCTATAGTGTACATCTATGGCAATGCCATCCCCCCCCCTTTTTATATTGACCCAAATGCATTCAAAACAGTTTTTATCATTATTGTCCTCTATTTCTGTAGAGATGTAGTTATTTCTTATATAGAGAGCAACTCCACCTCCTCTTTTATTTGGTCTGTTTCTTTTAAATAATTTAAATCCATCTAGCTTTGTGTTCCATTTGTGGGTTTCATCCCACAAAGTTTCCATAATGGCAACAATATCATATCTGCCCCCATTTACCTGAATTTTTGTTCACCCTGTTTATTGTTCATATTCTGTGCATTGGTGTAAAGACATTTGAGTCCTTTATGACTGACCCTGTGTTTACTTCCTACATAACCTGTGTGGTGCCTGAGTTCCCATATTTTTTACCACCTGTTTGATTAGTGCACTTTGATTTTGCTTGACAGCAAGGTTGATATTCTTGTCCACACACACATCTATGTTACATGCACTGCTAACCCTGTAATTTTTTGATTGCCGAGGACAGGAATGTTCTGTATCAATTAACTCACTGTCCCTGTTGTTTAGTTTAAATATTCCTCCAGAAAATCTGTGAGTTTTTTGCCAAATAACTCAGTCCCTTTTGTACATTGTTTCATTGGACCAGCTACAGACATCGTGACTAATATAACCAAAGCCTTCCCCTCTACACCACTCCTTTAGCCACATATTGAATTCTGCTATATGCTGGCCTTTTCCATTTTGCTCCTTATACACTGGTAAAACTTCTGAAAAAGTAAGCCTACAGTCTATCCTGCTAAGTTCTTGCCCCAAGCTCTTGAAATCATTCTGCACGGAGAGTACATCTTTTGGGGAAAGATCGTTACTGCCAAGATGTACAATAGCATCCACATCACAATCCTTTCTGGCATTCTTTACTATTTTGAAAATACGCTTCTTATCTCTATTTGCAGTAGCACCTGACCTCTTTTGAAACCTCTGTGTCCTTTCCTAAATTTATATCTCTTATAACTGAATTACCAACAGAAGGTGGCTTCTCTTTTTGGATGCCTTTCTGTTCTTGCATGACTGATGTGTAATACCTGATTTGCACTTCTTCCTGCAAAAACAAGTTCTTCATCTCGGACTACAGTTGCTTGCTTATTTGAGTTATCATCACAAATACCTTTACTGTCTCCTTGATGTCCCTATTAAGGTCAGCAAGGGCATTGTATCTATTGTGCAGGGACACAGCGAAAGCTTTGTGTTTATGGTTCACAGCTCTCATTCTGCCAGATCCTACAGTTGTCCACACTACCCTTTTCTTGCAGGATCTTTATGGTAGAGGGGGCTCAATAGAGTAGAAGGGCTGAATTGGACACCTAATTTCTGCCTGAAGAGCACAGATTACAGACCCTAGATAAATAATCTGTCCTTGTAGACTAGTGATTTGTTTACAGATAGGACAGTTTCCAAGTTTGAAAAGAGTACTGCAAAAGACAGCTGCAAAACAAGTGTTGCACTGAACTAAGCCAGACATTCTAAGATATGAGGAATTTCAGAAGCACCTGCCCTAAATGTACCGCTACTGTTTTTGATTTTTAGTTACATGATTCACACGCTGTTAGGTGTGTGGGCCACTACTTTCCTCCTCCCCCTCCTCCTTTTTAACTCACAGTTTATAGCCTTCTATCATTTCATCTATGTTAGTGACAATTAAGTGCAATATGGCTGATCCCCTAGTTCCCTTCTCTACTTTTTGGCAGACAAAGTTGCCTGCTAGGTTTGTCATGAACCTGTTTGATCTTCCACGTAGTTTTGGTGCAGAGTTTGTCTCCCAGTTGATGTTGGGGTAGTTAACGTTCCCCATTATTATTGTGATGTGCTTCCTACATACCTTAGTTAACTGACTAGCAAAAACTTCATCTATTTCCTCTGTTTGATTGAGTGGCCTATAGTATTCACCTATGGTAATGTCATTTCCCCCCCCCTTCTATATTGACCCAAATTTATTCAAGACAGTTTTCATCATTGTTGTGCTCTATTTCTGTAGAGATCCTATTATTTCTTATATATAATGCAACTCCAACTCCTCTTTCATTTGGTCTGTTTCTCTGAATAATTTAAACCCCTCTAGTTGTATGTTCCATTTATGGGTTTCATCTCACCAAGTTTCCACAATAGCAACTATATCATATCTGCCTTCATTTACTTGAACTTCTAATTCACCCTGCTTATTGCTCATACTCTATACATTGGTGTATAGACATTTGAGTCCTTTTTTGACTGACCCTGTGTTTACTTTCTCTATCAGGGGTCCTGAACCCTCTGTCTGTGGACCAGTACCGGGCCATGACATGCCAGCAACTGGTCCGCACAAACAAGCAAAGCCCCATCCGCGTGATGCAGGCAGCACACAAAACCATGCAGCCTCTGGTCTATGGGAAAACCTCTCTCCATGGAACCGGTTCCTGGTGCCCAAAAGGTTGGGGACCTCTATTCTATATAACCTGTGTGGTGCCTGAGTTTTCCTACTTCCTTACCACCTGTTTGATTAGTCTTGTTATGGAACTATAATTCAGTCCCTTTCTTTGACAGATGCAGACCATCTCTTTTGTACAGTTCTTCATTGGACCAGCAGTAGACATCGTGACTAATATAACCAAAGCCTACACCACTCCTTTAGCCACATATTGAACTCCGTTTTATGCTGGCCTTTTTCTTTTTGTTCCTTATATACTGGTAAAACCTCTGAAAAAGTAAGCCTACATCTTATGCTACTAAGCTCCTACTCCAAATTCTGGAAATCATTCTGCACAGAGAGTACATATTTTTGGGACAGATCATTCGTGCCAAGATGTACAATACCATCAATCTCATAGTTCTTATTGCCTTTCCTGACTATCTTAAAAATACCGCCTCTTGTGTCTGTTGGCAGTAGCACCTGACAGACACCAGACCTCTTTCAAAACCTCTATATCCTTTCCTAAATTTACATCCCTTGTATTTGAATCACCAACCAGAATGTGGCTTCTCATTTTGGATACCTTGCTCTTCTTGTGTGACTGGTGTGTAATACCTGATTAACACTTTCCCCTACCAAAACAAGTTCTTTGTCTCATACCATGATTCCCTGTTAATTTGAGCTATCATCATCACAACTATCTTGACCTGCCACCTTAGTATCCCTATTAAGGGCAGCAAGGGCACTGTATCTATTATGCAGGGACATGGCGAAAGCTGTGTGTTTGTGGTTCACAGCTCTCATCCTGCCAGATCCCACATTTATCCATACTGCCTTTCTCCTGCAGGATCTTTGTGGTAGAGGGGGCTGGTAGCGTGGCAGCTCAATAGAGCATAATGGCTGTATATCTAATTCTGCTTGAAGAGCACAGACTAGAGACTCCAGATAAGCAATCTGTCCATGTAGACTACTAATTTGTTTAGGACAGTATCCAAATTTGAAAAAAGTACCCCAAAAGACAGCTGCAAAACAAGTATTTCACTGAACTAAGCCAGACATTCTGAAATAAAATAAAATCACAATCATAGGTGCACTTAGCCTGAATGTACTATTGCTGTTTTAGATATTTAGTTCAGCTACCTTGCTCCACTGGACTTTGTCTCAGTCCCCCTAAACTCACAGCAAGCAGCTCTTCCCAGCAACCTCTGGGAAATTCCAATGCAATGCAGGTGCAACCAGCAGCTCAGCTTTCAAGTGCTTACCTCTCTTCACTGGATGGATCTTCAGTGTTTCTGAACAGCCTTTCTACTCTTTAGAAACTTTGCATTTGTTGGTTTTCCAAGCAGAAAGCTAGCAAATGCAAGCTTTTCTTAAGAGTAGAAAAGCTGGAAAAAGCATATCTACCCTTTAAAAAAGATCACATTTGGTAGCTTTCTGGCTGGAAAGGTTGGAAAGAAGCTCAGATCTTCAAGATGCAAACTTCTTTTCTCTAGTCCAGTGCCAAAGTTCTCCTCTCCATGATATATGGGGGAAATTCTGGCACTGGCTTGGAAAAAAGTTTACATATCAAAGATCTTTGTTTCTCCATCCTTCTCTGCAGGAGTCTCCCCCCCCCTCGCATAGAGGGGAGGGGAAATCCTTCTTCAGTGGCAGCAGCTTGCAACTATTGTTGCTGGCTTCCATATTGAATTTCTGGTGAAATGAGCAGAGAAGATTGCAAATGGCAATCACATAATCATATTATGACTCTTGACAAACAGGTTGCCAAATGCCTAAAATACGATCACATGGCCTTGGGGATAATTGGGAGATCATAATTTCAAGAACACATTGGAAGCTATTTTTTCCTGAGTCTCACATAACTTTGAACCATCATTAAATGACCAATTGTAAGTTGAAAACTACCTGTGTTACAAGATGCGCTGGTCGTATCTTTGAAAAAATAGGTGGCTGGTTAAACTGTAAGTAATAGAATGCTGGCCTAGATACTAGTTTTAACTCTAACTGCAAGTTTTAATATTTTTAAGAGATCATTTAATACAAAAAAACCCCACTTTTATTATATATGTATTTAGAGGGAAAAGAAAAATGTTCTCTGAAATTCATGCCAAATGCTTGAAGAGAAATTGTTTGCATTTGTTTATGAAAATACACAAAAGGCCACTTTCATGATTGACCAACTCTTTAAAATTCAAAAGCCGCATCCTAGAGATACACAAGGCAAAACCTTTTCTTCTGCAGTGGTGGGCAGGGAAGCCTGAACAGAAATTGTAATCCTGTTTGACTGAATACGTTTCCTGTACTTTACTTAATCCAGAACCTTAATTATGCTATTAGCAGTAGAAGTTCAACTCACCGGCTGATCACTAGCAATGGATGTTCCATATCCAGATGGTTCTCCAGGGGCCCAGTTCACATACTTCACAGCCTCAGATTCTACCCAGAGAAATTCCTTCTTGGAATCATGGAGACCAATCCATATATCAAAGGTCACGTTTGGGAGAAAAGTTGTTATAAGAGCTGCAAACAAAGGAATGGAAAGTCCTTGGCATATGATTAGAGAAAAAGCAGTGAAGATAGTGCTATTTTTCCAAGTGGAGCTAGGAACTCAAAAGCTGAATTCCATTATCCACACTATTAGTATTTCCCTGTTGTCCATAGTATAAAATTTGGTGTCCTCCCTGGCTTTGTTACTTGTTTAACTGCAGTCCCTGATCAACATTCAAGATAAAGAAGAATAAAGGCTAACAGATTTTATACATTGTGAGCTTCATTGGATGGTGTCAGAATACTATTTTAACGCTGGTACTGCTAAAGGCATCAGTTCAGAATTGTTCAATATTATCTCCTCTGAATGTATGTTTGGAGCATAGCATAAGAAAAAGGCTTGCCTTGGATTGAAACGGTACTCATCCTGTCACTTTCTGGCATATACTTCAGGTAATAATGAGACTCTACAATTATTCTACAATGGTCCTATTTAGACTAGTAAACAATATGTTAGTTTAGTTATTCAACAGCTAAAATAAATGCAATATTTATATCTTCAGAGCTTTCTTTCTTTATTACTACTTCAGATATTCTTGGAGTAAATTCTACAAAATAAGTTCTGTCTATCAGAGAACATCTCTTCTAAGCAGAATACAGAACATTTTGGGGATAAGATAGTTATCCATACTAAAGATTACTAACTATAAAGCTGAGAGGCAAAAAAAGAAACAGATGAATCTCTGGCTATCACACATTGGTTAAAAAAACAACTACTGTTTTCCTTCCTGTGAACTGGAAGATTATTTATCTTACTGTTCTGGAAATTCCAAACTGAAACTCATTTTCAGAAGGACAGATGTTAAAAACTTCTAGTGTTGGAGCATTCATAGCTTCTGGAGGCAGATTGTTCCACTGATTAATTGTTCTAAATGTCAGGAAATTTCTCCTCAGTTCTAGGTTGCTTCTCTCTTCCATCCATTGATTCTTGTCCTACCCTCAGGTGCTTTGGAGAATAACCTGACTCCCTCTTCTTTGTGGCAGCCCCTGAGATATTGGAACGCTGCTATCATGTCCCCCCTTGTCCTTCTTTTCATTAAACTAGACATACCCTATTCCAGTCTCCTAGTCATCTTTGTTGCTCTTCTCTGTACTCTTTCTAGAGTCTCAACATCTTTTTTACATTGTGGTGAGGAAAACTGGATGCAGTATTCCAAATGTGGCCTTACCAAAGCATTGTAAAGTGGTATTATACTTCACATGATCTTGATTCTATCCCTCTGTTAATGCAGCTTAGCACTGTATTGGCTTTTTTGGCCAGTGCAGCACACTGCTGGCTCATATTAAAGTGATGGTCCTTTAGGACTCCAAAATCCCTCTCACAGTTACTACAGTTGAGCAAGATACCACTTATACTATACCTGTTCATCTGGTTTTTCTTGCCTAAATGTAGAACCTTACTTTTTTCACATTTGAATTTCATTAGATAGCATCCAATGTTCAAGTCTGTCAAGATCCTTTTGTATATTAAGCCTATCTTCTTGAGTGTTGACCATTCCTGCCAGCTTGGTGTTGTCTGCAAATTTGATGAGTTCCCCATCTATCCTTTCATCCAAATCATTGATGAAGATGTTGAAGAGCACTGGGCCCAGAACAGAGCCCTGGGGCACCCCATTACAAACTTCCCTCCATGTAGATGCAGTTCCATTGAGGACTACACGCTGAGTACGGCCGGTCAGCCAGCTATGAATCTATCTGGTGATGATGCTGTCTAACCCACATTTTTCTATCTTATCAAGTAGTAGGCTGCGGTCTACTTTATCAAATGCCTTACTGAAGTCCAAGTAAATTATATCCACAGCATTCCTCTGGTCCACTAATTTTGTCACCTTTTCAAAGAATGCAATAAGATTTGTTTGGTATGATCTGTTTTTGACAAACCCTTGTTGGCTTTGTCAAAAACAGATCATACCAAACACTAATTAATTGCTTGATTATCTTTTCCACAATCTTCCCAGGTATTGAGGTCAGGCTGATAGGTCTGTAGTTTCCTGGATCCATATTTTCCCCTTTTTTGAACATGGGAACTACATCAGTTCTTTTCCAGTCCTCTGATAGTTCTCCAGTGCTCCAGGATCTTTGAAAGATATAGTTCAGTGGTTCTGAGATCACATCTGCCAGTTCCTTCAGAACCTTGGGGTGTAGTCCATCTGGTCCTGGTGATTTGAACTCATCTAGGATGGACAGATGCTCACTTATAATTTTCTTGCCTATCTCAACTCATGTTTCTAATCTGTTTTTTACGGTACTGTTTTTGATAGGTTGGACTGTTTTTTCCCTTTGCGCAAATACGGATGCAAAAAACGAGTTGAGTAGTTCTGCTTTCTCCCTGGTGCTTGTCACCTTCTTGCCACTTTCTCCCACTAATGGACCAATCATTTCCTTAACTTTTTTTCTTGTTTTTTACATGTTGAAAGAAGCTTTTTTTTGTTATTTTTGACTTTTGTCGCAAGCCTTAGTTCATTTTGAGCCTTAGCTTTCCTCACTTCATCTTTGCAGGCTCAGGCTATTTGCTGATATTCTGCCTTAGTTATGTGCCCCTTTCCATTTTTTATACTTGTACTTTTTGTCTTTCAATTTATCAGAATTCTTTATGCAGCCATACTGGTTTCTTTTGAGAGCTGTTATTTTTCTTCTTCCTTGGTATTGTGCTTTTTATAATCTCACTTTTCAAAATTTCCCAAGCTTCTTGAGTTGTTTTCCCTATGAGGATTCTCATCCATGGAATCCTTCCCAAGCTCTAAGTTTATTGAAATTAGCTGTCTTAAAGTCCAAGATTCTAGTTTGACTGTGTTCTTTTGCTTGTGCTTCCATAATGTTGAATTCCAATATTGCATGATCATTCCCCCAAGGTTCCTGTGGCTTCAACACCTTCTATTATTTCATCTCTGTTAGTGAGAATTAGATCCTATATGGCTAATCCTCTAGTTACCTTCTCTACTTTTTGGCAGGCAAAGTTGTCTGCTAGGTTTGTCAGGAATCTTTTTGATCTTCCACTTGGTGCAGAGTTTGTCTCCCAATTGATGTCAGGATAATTAAAGTCCCCCATTACTATTGTGATTTCCTACATACCTTAGTTAGCTGACTAGCAAAAACTTTATCTATTTCCTCTGTTTGGCTGGGTGGCTTATAGTATACACCTAGGGCAATGTCATTGTTTCCCCTTTTGTATTGACCCAAATGCATTCAAGACAATTTTCATCATTGTTATTTTCTACTTCTATAGAGAGATAGTTATTTCTTATAAAGAGAGCTACTTCACCTCCTCTTTTATTTGGTCTGTTTCTTTTAAATAATTTAAATCTCTGTAGCTATGTGTTCCATTTGTGGGTTTCATCCCAAAAAGTTTCTGTAATGGCAATGATATCATATCTGCTCTCATTTACCTGAATTTCTAGTTCACCCTGTTTATTGTTCATACACTGTGTGTTGGTATATAGACATTTGAATCCTTTATGACTGACCCTATGTTTACTTTTTACATAACTTGTAGAGGCAGCATTGTGTAGTTACAACACAAGTCCCACCCTTTTAGTATGTGCATGTAACTTCTCAAGTCATGTACAAAAAGAACTTGCATTGTGAGGTCACTACAGTAGTTTCACTATCTGCTTCCCCATACCTTCCCCACAGATATTTCACTAGGTGAATTTTCCCAATAAAACTGCCTTCTCCCTTATCAAAAGGATTTTTTTCTCTTGAGGAACTTTCCTATCTATTCTGGGTCCAAATCCTGTCTACTTTTCAGAGGCAGAACAAGCATCTCTTTGTGTACATGTACTCAAACACCCTTGAATAAAACCTACCTTGCTCAAGATGGTTTGAAATAGTAGCCAATATACCTCCCTGAATTTCACATTTCCGCTTTGCCTCCATCCATGTCACTTTTTCTTGACTGTAGATCCTAAAGCACTATACATGGTGTTTCACAACAGAGAGAAAAAATAAACAGAATGTGGAGGAATCTTTTTGGTTCAGATTTGTTTACAGTAATTCACTATTGCTCCTCTTATTATTCTTCTCTTTCTCTAAAATTGCCCAAGAGATAAAGTACACTTTTTCTTCTTGCAACACCTAATGAGGTAGTATAGACCAACCAGTAATGGCTGATGTCAAGTGAACCATACTAGGATTTCAGTCAAAGGTTTCATCAACCATAGTTTACCATTTTACTGCACTAGCTCCTTGATTCATTTATTCTTATATTCTAATCATTAAGTAGGGAAAGGGTAATTCTACTCAGACTTTCTGGAAACTGTTCTGATGGCAAGAATAGGGATATTTGTGAAGAAACGGTTTTAGTATTCTCCACAGAACTTATTTTTCTTCTCACATATATAGTTTAAAGAGGACACACATACATATAATTTCCTCTCAGATTGTTCCCATTAATGAATTATAATAGTGTGATCTGAGTACCTTATTAATAAAAGCATGCCACCCTTGGGCACAGCTGCCAGGAGTTGGTACAGGTAGCGACGGCAAGGAAGGCTGCACAGTGGTGGTGTTGGTACGCTTGCAAATATAAGGCAGAGCAGTGAGGCATCTCTGGTCACCCCAATCCTCTGCAGAGGATCAAAAAGATGGTGTTGAGCTTCATCCAAGGGATGCCAGAACACAGTGGCCCTCTCAAAGAAAATGCTGCACTAATAAATGCTGCCAAGGCTTTGTATTAAAATTCTGGCAGAGAAAAACTCAAAATATGAAACTTAGGATGTTTCCTCTCTTACCAGCTGTGTCTGAAAAGTCATGTAGACCCTCATCACTAAAATAAAATATAAATGAAAGGAACTTTACACACATTTCCACATTAATGGTTAATTGCATCCCAGTTGTTAAAAGGAGAATGGAAAGTAGGGAGAGAAGAAACTATAGTACTTTAATAGCAAGGAAATAAGAACAAAGGCAGGAAAGGAGGCAACCACTATAAACATTTCTATGAGCTTGATGCATTGCACAAAGTTTCTCCATGGTGGACAAGGGTACCAATTTTGGCACATGGCTAATTGAAAAAAAGCAAGAAAAAAAGACTTCAGCCTTTCTGTTATGGGATTTTTTTTAAAAAGAAAATCTTTTTTTTTCTTTACATTTGTTGAAATTGCTGTCTTTTTTTTTTAAAAAAAAAATCTCCTATCTGGAAAGAATGAGATAGAAACTGCAGTTTTGCGAGAACTTCAGAAATGTTCATAACAAAGGAGGTCACCCATCTTGAAGCTTTATATAAATAATTCAACAGTACCTAGAGGAGAGGAAGGAATGAAATAAGCTCCATCATTTCTATCTCTTATGGGGATGTTTTCCTCATTCACTGAAGTCTCAGTCCATGAAATCAGGGAGATGAATTGGGCAAGTACATGTAGTCCTTGAGTTATGACCACAGTTGAGACCAAAATTTGTGTTGCTAAGTGAAAGATTGTTAAGTGAGTTTGCCCCATTTTATGACTTTTCTTGCCATGGTTGTAAAATGATTCATTGCATTTGTTAAGTTAGTAACATGGTTGTTAAGTGAAGCTGAATTCTCCATTGACTTTGCTCATCAGAAGGTCACAAAAACTTATCACATAACTTCGGAGACACTGCAATTGTCATAAATATGAACCACTTGCCAAGCCTCTGGATTTTGATCATGTGACCATGGGGGATGCTGCAATGGTTCTAAGTGTGAAAAACAGCCATAAGTCACTTTTTTCAGTGCCACTGTAACTTTGAATGGTCACTAAATGAACTATTGCAAGTTGAGGATTACCTATACTGGCAGAACCTTTAAAGTCTTGGAGATGGTTTATAGGCTAATATTAGTTAACTGCAATGGAAGACCCTTTCTCTCTGCATCTGGTAAAATTCACTTTGCCATGATGAGTCATGTTCACTGCATCTGGGAAGGGGATATCTGCAATTGGATGTGTCAAAAATTTCTTGACCCTCCCCCCCGCCATCATAGGTCATTTAGATAGCCAGTACATTTATAAGAGGTTGGACAAGATAGCATTTAATTTTCCTGAGTATCTATGCAGTCAATTTCTTGGGAGTGAAAAATTAGCTTTGTGGAATTGAGGGAAGACTGCATCAAACAGAAACATTTGGAGAGAATTCCTGTCCATATAGAGGGTGGTTCCTGAGGAAATCCTCCATTATACTCTGTCCCCTTGATTTCCTCAGCTCTTGAAAGAGCTTATCCGAAGTAGTAGTAGTAGTTGTTGTTAGTTGCGAAGTCGTGTCCGATAGGCCTTCCTGTCCTCTACCATCTTCTGGAGTCCACTTAAGCTCACGTCTACTGCTTCAGTGACTCCATCCAGCCACCTCATTCTCTGTAGTCCCATTCTTCTATTGCCCTCAATCTTTCCCAGCATTAGGCCCTTCTCCAGTGAGTCCTTCCTTCTCATTAGGTGGCCAAAGTATTTGAGTTTCAACTTCAGGATCTGGCCTTCTAAAGAGCAGTCAGGATTGATCTCTTCTAGGAGTAACCGGTTTGATCGCCTTGCAGTCCAGGGGACACGCAGGAGTCTTCTCCAGCACCATAGTTCAAAGGCCTCAATTCTTTTGTGCTCAGGCTTTCTTATGGTCCAACTTTCACAACCATACATTGCAACTAGGAAAACCATGGCCTGGACTATACATACTTTTGTTGGCAGGGTGACGTCTCTGCTTTTTAGTATGCTGTCTAGATTTGCCATAGCTTTCCTCCCCAGAAGCAAGCGTCTTTTAATTTCTTGGCTGCAGTCCCCATCTGTGGTGATCTTGGAGCCCAGGAAGATAAAATCTGTCACTACATCCATTTCTTCCTCATCTATTTGCCAGGAATTGAGAGGGCCGGATGCCATGATCTTGGTTTTCTTAATGTTGAGTTTCAAGCCAACTTTTGCACTCTCCTTATTCACCTGCATCAGGAGGCTCTTTAATTCTTCTTCACTTTCTGCCATTAGAATGGTATCATCTGCATATCTTAGATTGTTAATATTTCTTCCGGCAATCTTAATTCCAACTTTTGATTCATCTAGCCCTAACTTTCTCATGATGTGCTCTGCATATAACTTAAATAGACAGGGCGACAGAATACAGCCTTGCCGGACTCCTTTTCCAATTTTGAATCAACTGGTGGTTCCGTGTCCAGATTTCACTGTTGCTTCTTGACCTGCATATAGGTTTCTCAAGAGACAAATAAGATGGTCTGGTACTCCCATCTCTTTAAGAACTCGCCACAATTTGTTGTGATCCACAAAATCAAAGGCTTTAGCATAGTCAATGAAGCAGATGTTTTCTGGAACTCCCTAGCTTTCTCCATGATCCAACGTATTTTGGCAATTTGATGTCTAGTTCCTCTGCCTCTTCAAAATCCTGCCTGTACTTCTGGAAGTTCTCGATCCACATACTGCTGGAGTCTACAATGTAGGGTTTTAAGCATAACTTTACTTGCATGTGAAATGAGCGCAATGGTGCAATAGTTTGAACATTCTTTGGCATTGCCTTTCTTTGGAATTGGAATGTAAACTGACCTTTTCCAATCCTGTGGCCACTGTTGAGTTTTCCAAATTTGTTGGTAAATTGAGTGTAACACTTTTACTGCATCGTCTTTTAAGATTTTGAATAGCTCAGCTGGAATACTGTCATCTCCACTAGCTTTGTTGTTGCTCAGCTTTCCTAAGGCCTATTTCTCTTCACATTCTAGGATGTCTGGCTCGAGGTCAGTGACCACCCCATCGTGGTTATCAGGGACATTAAGCTCGTTCTTGTATAGTTCTTCTGTGTAATTTTGCCATCTCTTCTTAATCTCTTCTGCCTCTGTTAGGTCCCTGCAGGCCATTTTAGTCCTTTGTCATGCCCATCTTTGCATGAAATGTTCCCTTCATATCTCCAACTTTCTTGAAGAAATCTCTGGTTCTCCCTATTCTATTGTTTTCTTCTATTTCTTTGCACTTTAAGAGGGCATTCTTATCTCTCCTAGCTATTTTCTGGAATTCTGCATTCAATTGGGTATATATTTTTCTTTCTCCCTTGCCTTTCGCTTCCCTTCTTTCCTTAGCTATTTGCAAAGCTTTCTTAGACAGCCATTTTGCTTTCTTGCATTTCTTTTTCTTTGGGATGGTTTTAATTGCTACCTCTTGTACAATGCTGCAAACCTCCGTCCATAGTTCTTGAGGCACTCTGTCTATCAGATCTAATTCCTTAAATCTATTTGTCACCTTTACTGTATATTTATCAGGGATATGATTTAGTTCATACCTGAGTGGCCTAGTGTTTTTCCCTACTTTTTTCAATTTAAGCCTAAATTTTGCAACAAGAAGCTCATGATCTGAGCCATAGTCAGCTCCTGGCCTTGTTTTTACTGACTGTATAGAGCTTCTCCATCTTTGGCTGCAGAGCACATAGTCAATCTGATTTCTATGTTGACCGTCTGGTGATGTCCATGTGTAGAGCCATCTCTTGGGTTGTTGGAAAAGAGTGTTTGTTATGACCATCGTATTCTCATGACAAAATTCTATCCACCTGTGCCCTGCTTCATTTTGTATTCCAAGGCCAAACTTGCCTGTTATTCCAGTTATCTTTTGGCTTCCTACTTTAGCATTCCAATCCCCCAGGATGATAAGGACATCAAGAAGTAGTACAATAAAAGAAATCAGTGCTGCTTTCCATATCACCATGTCAAGAAGAATTATCCGGGAAGAAGAATTATCTGGTCTGTGGGAAGGAGATATTATAACCTGGCCAGGCTGCTCTTGAAGAGCCAAACTCTGAGAAGGGCAACCCCAACTATTCAAATATTCTCTCAAGGTAATCCAGAAACTTTCTGAGGCCATGGCCATCCATAAGGAAGACAGGATGGAAAATTAAAGGAAACATGAAAAGAACTGCAGGAGTAAAAGAGGTGGGGGGGAGTTTAACAAGGAGTTCTTATAGAGGTCCCTAAAGCTGGATGGAAGAGTGCTTTCTTCTGCCACATAGAGATTAGAAATGAAAATGATTTGGTCTTGCCAGCTAAGAATATTAGAGTAAGAATATTCTTACAAAGAGTAAGAATAAGTTCTTACTTGCACTACCTGCACAGAAAATAAGATTCTTCTAACAAGATATGTTCTAAGAAATAGGATATAGAAATCTCAGCAGCTGCTTTGTTTTGCTTTCTGAATCCAATTCATCTCTCAGGTTCTTAAGAAGGAAACTTTCTCAGTCTCTTACCCTGTGAAAACTGGTAAGAGTCTGTTCTGTTAACTAATATAAAAGGAACATTTGGATGGTTAATTGACCTGCTAGCTTTTTAATGTTTAACTGTTAATAAGTTCCTTGCAAGATATGGTTTCAATCTCTCCTAGTTGGAAAATGTTTATCAATTTTATTTTAATGCATTTTACACTATTATTTATTCAGACAATAACCAGACTTAGCTGAAAATTGAGGACACTTGCACAATTTTGTATTGATAAACAGACAAGTCCAGAATACTGACTGACAATTAACTTAAACTTAATTTTCCAATAATGATGGATGTTAAAGACTTATTTTGAATCTTCAACTAATAAACATTTCACCACGTTGGATTCTCCTAAAAATTACGAACGTTTCTTGCAAGATCAATTTATTATCCTTCCATCTGTTTTGCCAGACAGCAGGTTCCATGCTTAGAGTTGACTGAAATAGTTAAGCCATGTTCTCTATTGCAAATGCTATAGGAATCTATAATGTAAATTATGGTTCTGTAAACAAACTTTCTATAGCACTCAGATGAATTCCTTCTTGTTGCCTGTAAAGTAGCACATTTTTGCTCAGGTGCATATAGAATGCAGAAACAAATAATGATGCAAGTTAAACTGGTAACCCATAGCTTCAGTATATAATCTCTTATTGCTTTATGTTCATGTTTGTTTATTACATTATACAATTTTGTATGTGATAATTACTGAGGAACCTTACTATTCGTTGCAGAAAAAAAACCTTGCAAAAATTCTGCTAAATCATCTGGAGCTGGGCCCTCTGCCAGAGTCACATTCTGGTTTCTGCAAACATCATGGGACTATTGACATGATTTTTTGTCGACCAAGCACCAACTTCAGGAAAAGTGCCAGGAACAAAGAAAGCAGTATGTTATGTCAGAGTTCCCCAACCTTTCTGACTTTGCAGAATGGCGGGTGGGGGAAGAGGGGATGGTTCTGTACGAGCAGTGGGCAAGCGCGCAGTATGAACCTATATTTGTGCAAGTGGCAGCCATGTGTGCCCACCACTCATGCAAATGAAGCACACACGCACACACTTACCCACTGCTTGTACGAGTAGGGATGCACACACATGCATGCACACTCACCCACAGCTTCTATTGCCCAGTTCCAAATGGCTCAAGGCCCAGTAGTGGACTGTGGACTGTGGGTTGGGGACCCCTGTGTTATGCCATATTCCAATTGGCCAAAGACACAGTAAAGGGAATCAAGAAATAAATCAATTATCATTTGGAAATGTAAAGCAATTCCATGAATATCTACTACTAACCTCTGCTAGCTGTCATGTACACACACTTCCTTTCTTTGTTAATAAGCCGTGGTTTACCAGGTGCCCATGAGATGAAATTCAACAGAGAATCATCAGACCATCTGGAGGAAGTAAATGGCACAGAGGGAGGCTTTCATATTTTAAGCAAAGGTGAATGCAAGAAAGAAAAACATTTCTAGAGCAGCGACAGGTGTTAATGAGGAACACAGAAAACTCACCGAAACCGTCCATCGTTCTCATAGGTGTTTAATCCAATCCACCAATGTTCTTCCTGACCTCTTGAAAACTGGTCAAGGATTGTACATTTTGGCATTAGAAATATCATCATGAGTAAGAGGGAGAATGAGAATAAAAGAACTAATCATTTCTCTCCAATGTCAAATTACCTGTTGTGACTAAATATGCCATCCTGGGCCTCCTCCTTTCATTATTCTAGTTTTTGATGAAATATGCCTCACATACTACTAAATAATTGTTGACATTGCAGTCTTCAATCACAATTCCACCAATCTCTCTTTAAGGTTATTAATTCTCTATTACGTTTTCAAGGATCAAACATGCTTTTATATAATCTTACATATACCGTGTATATTCATGAAGAAAGGCAGAATAAAATATCAATGTAAGTTGATCTGCAAATGCACACAAATCTACCCAGATCCATCTTAAGTAAGGCTTCAGTCCCCATATAACTTACCTATACATGAAATCATAACTGCACACAACAAGCTCTCTTATATAAAAAAATGTTTTGTCTAGCCCGGTATTTATTTAAAAAAAGCACTTTACATCACCTAAAAAAACCATATTATATCTGGCAATCTTCCATAGTTTGGCATTCTTCAGATGTTCTGAATTAAAACTTCCACTCAGTTCAGCCAGCTTGCCCACTGATCTGGCTAAAGATGATGGGGTTTTTTCGTTGAAGCCATCTAATATGCACCTAGTGTAGAAGGCTAAATTATACAGTTTAATAGGATCACTTCATGGCTAAAAGTTACCTAGCCCTTCCATTAGGAAAATTATATTAGTATTAGGATCATTCCAACAGCATGGTCTCATTAGTGCTATGTTGTTTGTAAGTACTTTTAAAAATAGAATAAAAATAATTGTGTATATTAATCCTTAATCCTTCAGCTGAAAATGCCAGAAACTGAATCTGAGAACTTGTATATTCAAAACATATACTCATTTACCAACAGCACTGGAATATAAAGTACTGTAACACATAAATGGGAAAATAGTTTTTTTTTAACTTAAAATAAGAAGTCAACACAATTGGCTGTGTTTGAATTAAAATATGCATACACTACACTCTGAACACTTACATTTATTGGACTCCATTACATTTATATAGAAAAGGACTATTAAAAACAGAAGATGTAGTAAGGATAATGCTTCTTTAAAACATATGTTTCCACAATATTTTCTATTTACCAAGTTTGGCAAGAAAGTGGTGGATTGTATAAATAAAATTGTGCAACAAAAACTAAATTTTTTGCAGGATAATATTGTTTTGAACTGTATACCTAGTACATGGAATTTGGACAACATAAATGGATTCCCCACACTCTTACTTGGCTAAGACTGATACTTCACCATTAGAAAGATAAAGGTATGGTCTCTTTCAGTCAACAGATTGAAAATGTGTTATACTTGCTACTTACAAGCAAATTGCTTATAGATGTAGACTTATATAGACAACTATAATTAAATATAGCATTCAGCTTGCAGTTTTGCACAGTTAGTGTGACAGCCAAGGGATTGCATTGCTCCGCATCCTATGGCTGATTTCTCTCTGCTAGGGGACCCTAAATGGGCCTGAAGTCGCCCTGGAAAGGCAACAAAGAAGGAGGATTGCCCCGTCAACCATGGAGAGATGGCAGTCGGTCCGGTTGGCTGGGAAAAGCCCTCCAGAAACCAGCAGAAGAAAGGCTAGCTTCATTCCAGGGTCTATCCCAAGCTACAAGCAGCCAAAGCCAAAAAGCACTAATTTAAGCTTGATTGTAAACAACATGATTGGAACTGGGTAAGAACATTGATTTTTTTCACTTCTATTTGATAATTTATTTCCTGGGGGAAAAAATACCAAGAAGCAAAATCCTTCAAAAATGAAAAGGAGGAGGAGCTTTGTCCCACCCTCCCACAGAAGAAAGTGATGAATTAAACTTTTATGGGGGACAGAAATATATTGAAATGAAATGAATATAAGACTTAAATCTGGATAAGTTTGAAACTGGTGGAATTTGTTAAGATTTTCTTTTCAAAATATTATTGAAAACAGAAGAAAGTAATTATTTGTTTTAAAAATTGAAAAAAACAATCTGGTGCTGACAACTAGTGGTGGAGAAAAATATACCACTGTAATTGCTCTAGTACAGGAACAGACAGAAAGCCCAGTAAAAGATATCTTGTTTTTGTGACCTTCAACATCTTAACTAAATAGAGAACAGCTGCAACAAAAAGAAAACATTTGGGGCTATTTACAAGGCAAGAACTAGAAACAAAATTAACCTTTCTGGATTATAAATACTTATAGAATTGTGACTTTAAAGCTGCTTGCAGAGAAATGAAAACTTTGATTCTTGGCTATCATGGAACATCAGAGACATGCAGAAAGAACGTATCAAGAAAAAACAAATACCTTCCAGGAGGAAATGTATGCTGTGTTGCAACTAATTCAAATGACAATGATTTCAAACTATGAGGAAATTAAAAACAACTTTGAAAATTTAAATGAACACATCTTCAATTTAACCTTACAACAAAAAAACTCTAAGAAAATAAAAATAGAGAGCGATCAGATAAAGCAGATAACTGAATATAAACCAGAGGAAAGAGATTTACAGATGGAACTCAACAATGGAAGGAATTATGATTTAACCCAGGCGGAGAAAAACTTGCAGGAAATATTGGACATGGAAAAGATAACCTACACCTCAAGATTGCAAAATAAGTCTGAGGACAAGAAAAAAGATTTTACAAAATGGATTACAGAGCTGTCAGGAGAACTATGAGAACTTGAGAGACAAAAAATGATAAGAGAAAGAGAGAGAGAGAAAGAGAGAGAAAGAGAGAGAGAGAGAGAGAGAGAGAGAGAGAGAGAGAGAGAGAGAGAAAGAAAGAAAGAAAGAAAGAAAAAGATTTTCAATGAATACGAAGGGGTGAAACCCTCCCACAAAAACATTTTATTGGATTTGTCTCTTGTACCTACGACAACATGTACAAGACTATGGGAAGACTTTTTTGGTCCAGCGAAGCATACTGATTAGGAAAGATATTTGGAAAAAAAAAGACTAAAGTTAGAATTAAGAAATTTGAAGATGGGACCTATCAGATGGAATATTAAACATTTGTTTGAAGATGGTTAAAAAAATAGAAAAATTCTGGATATAAATGTATTTTAGTTTAAGAGGGACAGGCCCCTCAAGTAACATAATATTTTTTTAATTTACTTTATTTATTTATTTTTATAATATGAGAAATATAAAAATGTTGGGATGGTTTATATGAGGGAAAGGTTTTAGATATTTAAATGTAATTGATCTGGAGAAAATTTCAGTTGATAAGAATGTTCTGAATAGATTCAAAAGATTAGATGATTGGATTTATTAGGTGGAATATTTAAAGATTAAACATTTACTTGAATATGGTTAAAAAGAATAGAAAATTTTGGATATAAATGTATTTTAGCTTAAGAGGGATATGTTTTTCAAGTAGTATATTATTTCCTTCTTTTTTTTCTCTTTTTTTCTCTTTTTTCTTTTTAAGATATGAGAAATGTAAAACTGCTGGGATGGCTTGAGGGAAAAGATTTAATAAGTGTAATTAACTCTGAGAAAATCTTAACTGGTAAGAATGTTTTGAAATTATGGGGAAAACAAATCTAAATAAGAACTTTGAAAACAGGATTTATGATGAGGTAATTAAGACGATTACTTAGAAAAGAAGCTTTATATTGATATGGTTGTTAAATACTGGAAAAATGTTTATATTCAATTATCTATCAAAATATTCAGAAATGTACTAATTTAAGTTTGGAAAAAGAGAATATTATTGGAAGAAGAGAAAATCAAAGAAAGCTACAGTGTGGATTAAGGAATTATAGAAATTAATTGTTATAGATTGTTTTTAAATGTAAACACAGATAACACGCTATTTACCAAATATTAAAGTGAATATGTTAAAAAAAATCAATGATATATTTTTAAAAAAATGAAATATAGCATTCATTTATAGAGAATATATTTATGCAATAACATAAAAATGATAGTTGTATAAATTTATTCGAAGTACATTGAATAACATTTGCATAAGATAAGCAAATATGAAGTTGCAACAATTTACTGTTACAATGACATATCATACTATTTGTTTCTATGTCCTATTTTTCACTTTTTTTGTTAAAGTACATTTATATGGTCTTTTTTTCTCTTCTCTTTAACAATATATGCATTTCAAAATTATTATTTTTGTGTTTTGCTTTTTTGCTTTTTTGTTAATAATTAAATAGCAATAAAAATATTCTATAATACCTGTCCAAATTTGCAAAATTAAGTTATGATATAAATAGAGTTTTGTTTTTGATGTCTTCCTCCAGACCACCCTCCCATCCTCTCTCTTACCAATCATCAACGCTCTCTTTCTTGTTATAGGCTATAGAACTATTATCCGGGGCAGCCCATCCTCCACAGATTTTTTTTTTCTAGAGGAAATCAAAACTACTTTGTGTTCTTTTTATAAATCTTATGTATTTCTTACTTCTTTCATTTTTGTTTTTTTCCATAAAAGAGTTGTTTTGGATGGATGGAAATATGATGTCTTTTCTGATCTTGAAACATCCCTATAATCCCTAACACAACAAAATACCAATTTGACATGAATTCATCCCCTCATAGCATTTTAGATAGTATCCTACCTTCTTCAAGTTTTGGCCCAAAAAATCCAATTCAGTTTGACTATGAATTGACACCAACTCAGCTTGAAACCATGTGCAAATCCGTTGAGCCTGCACCCAAGTTGAATGGTGATCAAAGAATTTATATTCAGCATCCTGAAACTTTAACCACTCATTACTCCCTGCAGACAAAGTGAGAAAATAACTGGTCTGTCTTAGTGTTTTTTAGCTGTATAAAAATCAATGATGCAGCAAATAATCACTGAGGGAATCATGTCTTTTACTTAGCTTTTCAATTTTTATTTTTATTTTTGTTCTTCTAAGACAGGGCTCTTCAAACTTGACCCTTTTATGACTTGTGGACTTCAATCCCAGATTCCTGGGAGTTGAAGTCCACAAGTCATAAAAGGGCCAAGTTTGAAGCCCCTTGTTCTAAGAGAAGACTTAAAAATCCTGAAGTATTGGTGAATGAACAGGTTTCACCTAAATTGTATCAAATTTCTGTTCATAAACTAACATAGGTGAATATTATTAGAATATAATATTTATGAACACAATATCTTGACCATAAATTTCTTGCCATCCAAATATTGTTAGAGTAGAATCCCCTTCATCTATCATCATTGTACACAGTGAATGGGACTGACTGGAATTTGATTCCAATTGCAATATGTTTCTCAACCATAATAAAATAAATGTCAAATCAAATTCTCTGAGTCTGGTCAGTAATCCACACTCAATAAAATGTATTAAATATAACCTACATGGTAGAACTACAAGATAGAACATACCGAGTAAAATAAATGTCATGCTGGGTCAATCTACAACACATAACTTGTTTCTGAATCAAAATCAAATTCATAATAGAAAAATCACTTCCTGCCCCATAAGAGAGGAGTTTCAACACACTTCATTTTCTTATTGTTTTAAGAACCATTGGAAGTTGCAACTCCCATAAACATTTACATTAAATGGAATTTGTGCTGAATATAACATATTGGAGCCACAGGATTAGATCAGTATTATACAGTAAAAATAAAGGCTATGTCCAGCTTCAGGCAATTTTTTTTTCTTTTTCAGTTTTTCCAGATCACATATGATTCCAGATACCATAATCATAATATGCTCATATGTATGCCCACAAAAGCCATCCCCATTTCATTTTAATCAACTTTTTCCTCTGTTGCCCCAAGTGCTGGTCTGTCTTTTTGAGATAAGGCCTTGTTGACATTGATTATTGCCTCCTTCCCTTGGCACGTAGGGATCTGCGCTTTCTCAGAGCACTTAATCTACATAGCAGGTCTCTTAAAACTGCTTCATACATATTAGGCATCTGCAAGTCCACCCAACTTCTAGATATCAAATCCTTTCTAGTTTTAGTTGATTAACAAAGACCCTTAACCAATCACTTGCTGAAAAAAATATATAATTCCTTTTCTTAAAAAAATAATCTATATTGCCATCTACAACAGTCTACTGATAATGTGAGACACTACCACATCTGAATGATAGTCTGGATGCCAAAACAAAGCCAAGTTATGGCATACACCTGAAAGAAAACCGGGAAGCCTGTAATTGTGGAGTTTGTCTAGCAAGAATAAAAAATGCTTATTCACAGGGAATATGCACATGTAAAGCTTGTAACAATACTGGGTGGTTTAGAAGCTGATAAAAATAACAAAGAGTTAGGTATCTTGTATAGTTTAGCTAAAAGTTAGAAATAGAGATGGCCTGAAGCAAATAGAATGTGTATTAGAACACAGTTCCCCAACCCCGGGTCCGTGGACAAGTACTATGCCAGCAACCAATCTGCACAAACAAGCAAAGCCCCATCCTTGGGATGCAGGCAGCACACAAAACCATGCACTTTCCTGTCCGTGAAAAAAAACTTTCTCCATGGAACCGATCCCTGGTGCCCAAAAGGTTGGGAACATTTGTATTAGATAACTCCTGAAGCATTCAATAGCTAAGGCTTAGGAATAGGGACTGTTAGAAACCAATAGAATAATTGTTAGATCATTATTAAAATGTTTATTATATATTTCTTATATAGCTCACCTTATCCCGCCTTCTGCTTTATTGGAAATCAATAAAGCTTTCTTAATTCTGTGGTTTGAGGTTCCTTGGCATTTTGGCCAGGATCTCTTTTCTTGAAGCGCTTTAATAAAAGAAAAGAAAACCTGCACCTCCTGTCTGGTGTTCTTCATCGGCCTCAACACCAGGTTCAGACCCGAATTGGGGACAACATATATATGTAGGCCTTGACATCCATAGTTCATAAAATTCCTAAAGTATAATATTAACCACAAAATCTAACAAAAGCAGTAACTTTCTTATCTGTTGTGTATACAAATCAAGGAATGGATATAACTTTACAGGAGGGAGGGCAACAAAATTAGGATATATAGACATAGGACTAGATGTACTCACCTTGGATGGTTGTTTCTGGTTCTTTCACTTCAGTCCCTAATGAATGAATGAATGAATGAATGAATGAATGATTGATCAGTCTTCATTACAGATCATATCCCCATCAAGCATATCAAAGTTTTTTCAAGAAAGCAATAAAGTTAATTTTTTTATTTAAAACATCCATAAAGCAAGTGAATATTTCCCTTTTTATTAAAAATAGTTATGTACTCTTCTATGTCCTTCATTGACAAAACTCAGAGCAATTAGTAATGAGCTATTCACATAAATTCGTGAGTTAGATAATAACTGCCATAATAATACAGCATTAAAAGAAAAGCAAGTGTAGTGGATAATGCTGAATTTTTAAAAATTGAAGTCAGTCATAACAAAAAAAGTTAACCTGGTAAATCAAATGGGGCAAAACGGTCTCAGTCTCAAGCACACATCTGTAACTATATTATTCATATAGTCTACGGTACTTAAATGGACATTCTCAAAACTAACTGACTGCTAGTAGGCATTTTTCACTTAACTAAAATAATTAATAAATCCTCTTTAAAATGTCATGTTTAAAGACATATAGAAATGAAGAAATAAACAGCAAAAATTGTGATAAAGATGCCTAACAGTATTCATAAGTACATAAGCATTCAATCCTCCAAATTGAGAATGGAATTAAGAATGCAAACCATGTCCAAATCTTATCTCCAATACCTTGTGCTTTGTACAATCTCATCACTTCCCTTGTTCTGCTCCCTCCCTGCCTCATTACAATCCCAGTCACCTTTGGGCAATTTGCAGATCCAGTCCAGTTTAATTTCACATTGCAGAGGCACCCACTGCAAGGATGCGAAGTTGAGGGCCACACAGTTACGGATGTCATCATCATCATGATTACTGCGGTCAAAGTTGTGATAAGAAAACTAAAGGCCAAAATTAAATGGTAAGCAGTTAGTTTCAAAAAGATCTGCTTCATGAGAAAAACTCTCAGATCATGTTTGGCTGCAGGTACAAAAATACTCAGACAGGCTGCTCTTGATCCTTGCCAGCATACTCTTATTTCCTTGTCTCCTAAATTATGTTTAGTTTTCCAAAAGATTAGAACATTTGGGGTTAAAAAATGAAATATTTTCCAATGTTTGTGCTTTAAATTATTAAAGTAGTCTAGTTTTCAGACTATTCACCAAATCAGAAAATAAACAACTATATATGAAAGCACAGTTGCCTCAGTATGGGCATATCTTAATCCATGATAATTAATCCAAATGTAGAAACAGCTGATATTGAGAATTTTTCACATTCAGAAAAATAGAGATAGATACTCTTGCTATAAAACCCATTATATTCCCAAAGCTTTTTCAGATTTTTTTTCACATAAATACATATTGGCATTTAATTTGTTTGGTGCATTGGAGTACAAAATCCAGAATAATGTTATCTGATTTATTATAAAGTTGATAGATTTTTCTATTTTCAATGTAAATTTTTTGATTAATTGGTCTGAGCAGACAAAATTAATGCTATATTCAACAACCTATAGCTCAATTTGTAATTTTGAAAAAGCTGATTCAATAAATAAATTTATATATACTCTCTAAATATTTAGACTTTTCCATGCATATTCCCAATATGAAATCCACTACTCACTCCAACACCATCACTCCAGCTCCAACTTCCCCCGGTTCTAGGGCTACGGCGATTCAAGCCAATCCAGAACCAGTGTTGCTCGTGAGTGTCAGGTTCCGATTCCCTAGGTCAGAGCAAAGGGGAAAAGAAAGAGATGATTGCGTAGCTGAAAAATATCCATTTGACAGAATTACGAGAAATAGTCTGATTTTGCTTTTGATGCTGAGAAAAATTGGAATAATTCATTTTCTTCATTTCCCCAGATTATTTGCCCCAAATAAAAGTATTGTCATAATTTAAGTTATGTTTTGGGGCCTTTATGAAACTACCTTATGCTCAATCAATGCATGTATATATTCAAGAGCATAGAGGAATGCACAAATGAATATAAGCCTGTAACTCCAAGTATACATTTTCTAATTAGTCACAAAATTACTTAAGTACTTAATTTATTCCTCACCCAAAAATCTTGTTGAGGGTGTTGGCTACAAAATGTTCCTCCTCATAATCACTCAAGCTCAAGAGCTGTGCTTTTAATTCCTGACAGAACAAATGTGCTGTGATCCAATTTTTCTTTTCCTGCAGCTTATCATAGCTGAATACCTGTCCAAAAATTAAGGAGAAAGGGTAATTTTACAAATTTATCCCTGTTATTTATTATCCCAGCATGACGGACTCTGATTTTTTTTTTAGAAATATATGACAGGATATGTCTCATGCAAATACTGCACTGGAAAATGAAATCTATCCTGCTAAAAAAGAATGCTCCATTGGAATAATATTCCTTCTCCTGAAGACTCAACAAAGGCAGAATCTGATAAATATGCAAAAGGATCATCATATTTTTCTCATAACCTAGTTGGTATTTGGGATAGGATAATGTGAATCTCACATTTTATTCTCTCTAAAGCCTTCAATATTGATTGGGGTTTGCTTTTTTTCTTACTTACAAAAACCATATTTACAGTAATGTGTGACAGAGCTACAAATCCATACATTACATACATTACCTTTCTCCTCAGTTCATAGTTACATAATTTATCAATTTCTCTTTCTTTAATCTCATCTGTTCATTTATTACCTAGTATCCTTTGCTCTTACATTCCAAGTCACAATCTTCTATATTTATTTTACTTTTATTTATTTTTTGTTTTATTATATACCAGTGGTGGCAAACCTATAGCACGGATGCCAGAGGCGGCACTCAGAGCCCTCTCTGTGGGCACGTGCACCATCACCCCAGTCCTAGGCCTTCAGCTGGGTTTTATAAAACCTTTTCACTTTAGGCCTCTGCCGCCGTGTGCAAAAAAAAAAAAAAAAAGGTTCAATCAGTCAGTCAATTTCAACTTCTCGCGGGGAAAAAAACGATCTTGCAAAGTTGGAATTGATTGATTGAACTTTTTAGTCCCACCCAGTCTGCCGTTATCACCGCAGCTACGCCCACCCAATGGGCCACACCCACCCAGCACCCAACGATGCATAAGTGGGTTTGGGTTGCAGTTTGGGCACTCGGTCTCTAAAAGGTTCGCCATCACTGTTATATACTATTATAGTTGAATGGATAGTTTATAAACAGTACTAAAACAAGGGCAGCAATACAGTATCTTCCCCCCACATTTTCTGAAAAAGCACTGTTTGAACTAGGTTCTGGAAGACCAGCAGACATCAAGCAGGAAATGTTCCATCCTGAAAAAGCATTATCTATATGTTTTGCCCATTGAACTACTCTGTAATGAGGTTTTCTATGGTTGTTTTCTCAAAGAACATTTTCAGGAAGGTGCCTAAGATCCAAGCAAAACAGCACTTTGAACTGTAGCTAGAAACCAATGGATAACAAATGAGGGTTTGCAATACAGAATAACAAAGTTGGAAGAGATTTTGGGGATCTTCTAGTCCAACTCTCTGCACAAGCAGGAGACCCCCATACCATTTTGGACAAATGGCTACCCAATCTTTTTAAAAACCTCCAGTGATAGAGCACCCCTACTTCTGAAGGCAAGCCATTCCACTAGTTAATTGTTTCACTGTCAGGAAATTTCTTCTTAGTTCTAGGTTAGTTCTCTCCTTGATTAGTTTTCATCCATTTCTTCTTGTTCTCCCTTGTGATGCTTTGGTAAATAGGTTAACCTCCTCTTCTTTGTGGCAGCCCTCAATTATTAGAACACTGCTATCATGTCACTCCGGTCCTTCTTTTCACTAGATATAAAATACCCAATTCTTGCAACTGTTCTTAATATGTTTTACCCTCCAGCCCACTAATTATCTTTGCTGCTCTTTCCTGCACTCTCAATGTCTTTTTTGTATCACAGTGAACAAAACTGATGCAGTCTTTAAAGTGGAGTCTCCCCAAAACAGTATAAAGCAGTACTATCATTTGTAATGTACCTAAATAGCAATTCCTGCTTCCAACAAGCTTCCTGCTATATTTTACACTAATTGCAGCTTCTAGGTAGTCTTCAAAAACACCTTTTTTATTACAAACATTTTCACAGTATTCTGTACAACTAGAGGATCTCTGACTTGCAAACCAATAGGCTGTTACTGTATCACACCAGCATTTATGTTGAATTATAAAACTGCTGCACTAAGATCAGTTCAAGTTAAAATCATTCTCTTTGCCTTTAATCCTTTGAGTATACAGTGATGCTTAAAAGTTTTGAACCCTTTTGAATGTTCAATATATATTTGCATAAATATGACCTAAAATGTGATCTGTTCTTCGAAAAAGTTACAAAACTGGATAAAAAGAACCCAGTTAAACAAATGAATTAAAAACTTTAAACTTATTCATATAGGAGATGACTAGACTGAACCTGAGGTGGAGTCAAATGCAGCATCAATTTGGAGTCTCTATGTCAGGGGTGTCAAACTGCTGGCCTGCAGGCTGGACGCGTCATCCAGAAGCTGCACTCACCCCATTGCCGGCAATGGCAAAACCTTCCCAATACGTTGCATGATGTCATGTGACGTTGCGAGTTTGACATGTCTGCTCTATGCCCTCACAAGAAACTAAATCCAGTCCCTTTTGAAGTCCATTGACCTTTACCTGGCATTAATTTGCCTTGACCATTAGTAAATCAGATTCTTGTGAATAGGTAGCATGAAATAAACTTGTAGTACTTTTGAACTCTATCTTGATTTCTTATTTCTTGCACCTGACAATTCAGTTATTTATTGAGGAAAATGATCCAAAGTTAAATTTCTATGTATGGCAAAAGTATGTGAACTTCTAGGATTATCAGTTCATTTGAAGGAGAAATTAAGAGTCACATTTTTCAGTCAATGGGATGATAATCAGATGTCAGTATTTATGAGATCACAATTAGAAAACACTGGACAACAATGGTGTGCATGGTAGGGTCAAAAGGAGAGAGCCACTAGTCTCCAAAAAGAATACTGATGCTCATTTAGTTTGCAAAAGACCACATGGATAAGCCAGAAGGCTATTGGAAGAATGTCCTGTGGACAGATGAGACCAAAGAACTTTTTGGCTTGAATGAAAAGTTTTATGTTTGGCAAAAAAAATCCCACTATATTCTAGAATAAGAACCTTACCCATTTGGTGATGAGGCTAATTTGCTGCCTCTGGATCAGGATTGATAGAGCTATGAATTCTGAATTATACCAGAAAATTCTGTAGAAAAATGTCAGGATATATGTATATAAAGCTCAAAAGAAAGAGGGTCATGCAAAAAAACAACAACCGAAAAGACAAGTTATACAACCAAAGAATGATTAAAACACAAGAAAATAAATCTTTGGAATACCTAAGTTGAAATCCTAACCTTAATCCTAGAGAAATGTGGAAGAACTTGAAGCAGGCAGTTCATCTGATAAAGTCCACCAACATCTCTGAGTTTGTTCTGCAAGAAGGAATTGGCTAAAATTCCTCCAAGCCAATGTGCAGGGCTGGTAACAGTTATCAGAAACATTTAGTTGCAATCATTGCTGTGCAAGGCACATCAAGTATTGAAAGCAAAGGTTCACATTTTTGCCACACACAAATATCTAGCTTTGGATCATTTTCCTCAATAAATAAGAAGTTTAATATTTTGACTCATTTGTTTGAGTTCTCTATCTAATTTTAGAACTTGTGTAGAGAACAGATGTTTTAGCTCATATTTATGCAGGAATATTAAAAATTCAAAGGGATTCTCAAACTTTTAAGCATCACTGCAAATCACTAAAGTAGTTGGCTGCGATTCTTTACTCAGGACTTACTTTATAGCAATATCTCAGCTTGGAGGGGTTGGTCCATCCTGAAGGACAAGAGCCAGTGAGGCTGGGTGTAGGATGTGGTGAAGGAAGTTCAGGATTTACTGGTGTCCCCAGATTCTGCCTGCAGATATACTTGGCCTTGAATGTAGTGCAATTCTTTACTTCCCACAGGCCCATGGCACTTCCTGTGGCCAAAGCAACACAGCCACCTTTGTTATAACCTAATAAGTTCACGAGAAAGAGGAAATACACAAGAGAAAAGGTTTAAGTTAATATTTTCTTTCTGACTCACAACGCCACCTTACAAGATTGCTACCACTACAAAAGCTGACCTTTTTCCTTCCTTGAATCACAAATACCATTCTGATTTTCTCAAATGTGCATTCAAGCTGAAATGTTATTGTCATATTGATTGCAAACTTTTTATAGGAAGATGGCTAGAGAGTGTAGCTAATATTGTACATCTGATGAATTTTATACATGGTAGATGCTGGAGGAATATACTGTACACAGTTTTTTGTTTTATTTTTTCATTTCAGATGTTCCTTTGACTCCATTTCCATAGTATTATTTTGAAAGAGAGATGATGCACAACATTTATTATTATCCTAACCCTAACCCTAACCCTAAATGTAGCTTTCAAATAAACTTCAAGGGTAGCCTCATGTACAGCGCACTTCAGTAATACAAGCGGGAGATGACCAGGGAAAGAATGACTGAACACAGAGTCTCACAGTGCAGAAAAGACCATAACTGGCACATGACATAGAAGGCTCTCCTATCCAGAACTGCTACCTGCTCTTTAAGCAGGAGATATAAGCCTAGGAGAAATCCCAAGTTGAGTACGAAGTGCCACCCTATCCAGAACTAAAGATGATAAACCTCTGGATCCCAAGACTTTGCATATGGCCAGCCACTCTGTCTTACAGAGGGTTCAGTTGAAGCCTGTTGTCTCTCACAAGGTTTCCATGACTTCCAGGCACCACAAAAGGCCAGCCACACTATCACTTGGGTCACCATGGATAGAAATATAAAGCTGAGTATCATCAGTATATTGATGATATCTCAACCCATGGTATTGGATTACCTCACCCAGCAATTAAAAAGGAGAGAGTACCGAGCCTTGTGGCACCCCACATAAGAGCTTGATCTTTTGCCCCCATTAGCATCTATTGGAACTGGCTACAGAGAAAGGAACCAAATCGGTGGAATACTGTACACCCACTCAATCCTAAATCCCGCAGCCAATCCAAAAGGATACTGTGATCGATGATATCAAAAGTCATTTTTCTAAAGACACTGATGTGTGCAGAATACCATGGGGCCATAATGAAATCCTGAATATTTTTGCTCTCAGGTACAGGAATAAATGAACTGATCAAAATCTATGAAGGAGATGTCACCAATCATGCAGCATATTATATAACCCCATGAAATCCTAAGAATTTCCCTGTAGGAGAGATGTTTCATAGGGAAGGTTTTGAAATAATATAACCAGAACTATACACAGTATTTCAAATGGAGATATATTGTAATTCAATATGATACTGACCCTTAAAATAATAGGTAACATCCATTTCTTAATCATTCTTAATATGAACATTTTCATTGCTGATTCATGTAAATAATGTTTAGTAAAACAAATCATAAGAATTTTTTTCTGAAAGGCCACTGTATATTGATATATCCCATAATATAAATACAAAAATCAGAGTTTTTTGTTTATATACAGTTCTTATAACAAAGTATATGAGTGTATATACTTTTACTCTTATGATTTAGAACATGATATAAACTTTTACCAGGTTGGTTGCGGTTCCAGTGGGTGTAGGTGACTTCATCTCCACTCAACCAATGGAAAGAACCAGTTTCATTTATGTCTTGTAATGCAGTCCAGAAATATTCATCCTCCCATCCATAGATGAGGCTGCTCACATAGGCCTGTTCAAATCTGGTTCAGGAAAAAAGGAACAAATCCATCATTTCCTCACTTCTTTCTCTAACCCTAATCTTTCACCAGAGGTTCTACCATTTTGCTACTATCACTGGCATCCAAGTAGCATGTACTCCCTTCAAAGGCAACCAAGAAGACAATGGGTAATTACTTCGAAAGCTTTAACTGGAGCATCCAGAAGCCAATATCACCAATACCCAAATATTTTTTTAAACTTTTTATTAATTTTCCAATGTTACAATTATATCTTTGAAAAGCAACACGGTGTCTAGGTTGCAATAATTCCATTACATACAAATATTATTAAGACAAATCTCTAACTATTACAGCCAATATTTCTTCTTTTTCCCCCCTTAATAATACTGTCTCTTGTTTAAATTAGTTTAATTCTTATTCTATCCATCAGCTACTTAATAGCTTTCTTACATTTATCAATAATTCTATATGTCTTATTTATTTTAACATTCCATCTTTTGGACCATTAATAACCTTATGAATTTTCCCAGCTTTAATTTGTGTTGATATTAAAATTAAATGTTTAATATTTATCATTTCCAAATTTTCAAATGGCCTCAATTCCCTTTGTCACAATTCCCCTCAACATCTAGAGTTCCGAATACATATCTATCTCACTTCTATATCAACAGATTAGTAATACAATATAATATTCCTATTTTCATTATAATTTCCAAATATTATAGATTCAATAACCAAAATTTCTCCCATTTCAGTATTCTTCCTTATGTCCACTTACTCATATTTAAGCTTATAATTTTTATTCTTATCATTACATCAAAACATGTTAATTACGTTACATCACTCTTAACATATATATGTCTTAATCACCTTTATCTAACCTTTATAAACAACTGAATATTTCAATTTAACTGTTGATATTTATGCATCTAGGTTTTAATTAGCCAATATTTTTCTTTATCGTCATATCATAACAATATCTCATATTCAAAATACGGATCTTAAATATATTCTATCTCCTAAATATGTCCACGCTTCATTCTTCTTCAGTCTTATTCTGGCTTTTTTTCTTTGCCGAATCATCTTCAAAGGGTCCTCAAAGAATTCTTGTATTATTGTATATATTATGTCATATTGAGATGACCACCCAGTTGCCATTTTTGGAAGGCTGAAGGGTCTGGCAGGACTACCAGATCATCTCTTTATTTTCTCTTCTTGATGTAGTTGTCCTGAAGTGTTTATCTTTTCTTCCATCTGTTTCTCTTCTTGATCTTCAGATTCCTTCTGATTTATATAGCATCCAAGTTGTCAGATTTTTTTCTGAAATTTCTATTGTATTACTTGTTGGGCAGTTAGGTCTTCTGTGATAATATTTAATTGTTCAATTTTTTCTGTTGTATTCTGTATAGATAGGTTTTTAGTTATAGTCAAAGTCTGAGTTTGCATAACTAAGACACTTTCTGGTTTTTCCCTTTCTGGTTTTTCTTATTTCATCACCAGCTACAAGAAGAGTTTGGTAAGTTATTTTCAATATAGCAAAAATTTGTTTTTGCATTTCTTCAATAAAAAAGGTCTGTTCCTGGTCTTCCATAGTGATGAGTTGAATTGAAAACTTTTACAGTTTTTTTTTCACCCAGTAAATAAGAAACAGAGCTAAAAGTCTCACAGCTGGTGTTCAAGGTCAAATGAATCTTATCTTTTTTTCTGAACTGTCAGTCAAGTCTCTTTTCTTTAAGAGTAATAAATTGCAATTTCAGGTTTAGCCACAAGATGTCACCCCATTGTTTAAGGAGTTCCTTTAAATCTCAAAGTTATTTTAATCCTTTTGGTTTTTTTCTTCTATTTTAAGAGGAAAACCCAGACTTTCAAATAAAAATAGAAAGTAAAAAATAGATAATCAAAAATCTTTTAATCCACAAGTTTAGGAAATAAAGTTCCAATTGGGATCCAATTATTTTTTCAATGCTTTCAAAACTCCCCTGTATATTCAATCACAGTTATTTCTAGAGGGAGGGCTAAAATCCCCCTTCCCTCTCCACAGGGGGAAAGTACTTTAGCAGCTTGAATAGGTACAAAAAAGCAATTAGGATTTAAGAGAGGTAGATCTCACCCAGTCCTTTGCACACTGCTTTGAAGTTGCCAGATGGTAGTGTGACTTTGGCTGTCTGCAGCCTAGGGACCAGCCATATTTCTATGGCCGGTCCTTTTGTCTGCCAATTTGGAGGGGATCGCCAGCTCTAATGGGAAAGTTGCTGCTCTCCCGCAATCCAGTGAGAGCCCCTCCTTGCTGGTCGCTTCTTCGGGGCGACTTTTGGCCCTTTTCAGGAGCCCCCAGTGATCCGAAACTGAATGAGGAAGAGAGAGCAAGTCTCCCAGCCATCCATGGCAGCTGTGCAACAAACCAGAAGTCTCCCGAATATTTTTTAAAATGCCACAATACAAAAAATCCTTTTAGTGACTTATGATGGGACACATACCTGTTGGTGATAATAACCAGGGCAGAACCAAAATCCATGCACATTTTCCGAGCTTCATTGTATATCACATGGTCATCCCCCAGCCAATAACAGGATGGACTGTGCCATTTCCAACCCTGAGTAGAACAGAATAAGATTGTCTTCAAATTGCCATGTGTTAATTAGTCTGCATCAACAATTACATTATTTCTTCCTTGACAGAATAAAGATGGAAAATATTCTAAGAATTTTTAACTTAATGAAAGGTTAAATTACTTATAAAAACAGAATGAATATTATTGAACAAGGGCACCAAAGAGATATGTTTCATCTTGTTGTCTAACTGGAGTTAGGCTACCAGATCTGGGCTGCAAAAATCTAAACACACCATCAGATGAGTTGTTGATCATTTTCTTTATCTTGTTTCTGCTATTTTGTGGTCATTGTTTTGCAGCCCAGATCTGGTAGTTCTTAGCATATTATCAAGCTCAGCCACAAGGTTAAAATGGATGGCACAGACAGACTGCAGCAACCTACAGTAGCTGAAAATATTACCCAGATAATTTTTGTTGTTCTTAGTCCTTCAAGCCATAATTGATAGGTAACAATGGAAAAATTACTATCTGCCAATAAGAGAGTGCCAGGAAAGAATTAAAAAGAACAACTGAAGGGGAGTACAGATGACAGTGCTCCTTCGCAAAGAACATAGGGGAACATGGGAACTACTAAGTCTATAGTCAATTTACATAAACAAATATGTTTATAACCATCATCATAATATAAGATTTGTAAGACAGGCCACAATTTGCAAAATATAGCATTTTCTACATTCTAATGACCTCCGTAACTTGATTGCATAATTGGAACAGTAATTATATTGACAACAAAATAAAAACAATATTATAATAACAATAAAAAATTTAAGAAATAAGATTGTATATCACCAAGAGTCTTTCAAGTGAAGCTCTGGGAAATGGATGTCCTTACAATATCAGACCTTCTCAATATTTACACAATGCCTTCCTTTGATCTAAGTAATGCCATTCCCACCCCACTGCCCTTACACACCTTCCCTAATTTTTCCTTCCTTACTCATTAGCCTAGAGGTCTAAGGTACATCTTTTCTGATTATATGAAACTCAGCCTTTTATTTATATTTTGGTAACTGTGAGGTTCAGCATATGGAATTGTTTAAGGAGGCTAAAAGGGGCACAGGTTCTTTTCATGTCTTGGCAGCCCTTCCAAGAAACCAATTACTATAATCTGCACCAATAATCCAAAATATGCTTCACCTCAAATTCTTCCTCTCAATTTCAACTATGAGATGGGAGCATAGTGGGCAGAAATACACACAGGCCAATGCAGCTGTTCCAGCTCAGGATGGAATAATCGAAAACTGGATGTACTCTTAATGCATGTGGCAGCTACAAATGAAAGGCTACAGGACTAGTCTGTACAAGAATAGGATATAGTCCAATAAACTTGGCATCCAGTTTGATGGCTAATAGCCTTTTTTAAAATCATCATAGTTCCATTCAGCTGAAATGATTTGCCAGAAAAAAAAGAATTCACAATAGAAGAGGCAGTTCTCAAAATCTAGAGCAGATTGTATAAGAACAATCTGGACACAAAATCAAAAGTAGCTGTCTTTACAACAGCTGTTCTCAACCTGTGGGTCGCGACCCTTTTGGGGGTTGAACGACGCTTTCACAGGGGTCGCCTAAGACCATCAGAAAACACATATTTCCAATGGTCTTAGAAACCGAGACACCGTTCCTCTATCTGGCCACCGCTGCCACTGCCGCCCTCCTCTTCCTCCTACACCGGCTCCTCTGCCTCCAGGGCGCACTTCTCCTCTGACAGCGCCTGCTCCTGCCACTGCAGCGCCATCGCGCTTGCCCCCAACGCCACCCTGGGCTGGCTCAGCAGCCGGTCCGAGCAGAGCCGGGTCTGGGTCGCTGCTGGTGCTGCCGCTGGGCTGCTCCACCGCTGCCGCCGCTGCCGCCATTGCCGGCTGAGCTGAGCTGCAGCGCTGAGCCAGTGTCCACGCCTCCTGGTTGCCCGGCCACGCTCCACCCTTGGCTGCCCTCCGCACTGCACGGGAGCCTCCCCCGCGTCTCCTGGCCAGCCTCCTTCACCGTCAGAGGCTGCCTTGGCCCTCTGGTGCCCGGCACGGCTGTGGGGCTGCCCGGCAGGAGCAGCTCCTTCCTGGCTCGCTGTGCTCCGGGCCTCGGAAGCAGCCAGGGGGCGGGGAAGAGAGCGAGGGGGCGGCAATGCCCGCATATGCATCGGAGGCCAGCCAGCCGGGCTGGGAGGGGAGAAGCGGCGCTTTCCGAGTGGGAGCTGGCACTCCAGCTGCACCCCTCTCGCATGTGATGGGTTGCGCAGTGTGGAAAGGGGCTCCGGCAACCCCGCTGCTGCGATGGCACTCAGGAGGCTGGAGGGGTGGGCAGGTCCTGGGGGGAGGCTGGGAGAGGGCAAGAGGTGCCGGGATGAGGATGGGGGGCTCCAGGTTGGCGGGTGAGAGAGGGCAGCCGGCAGCTCCGAGGCGTGCGGATCCTCCGCGCAGCTTCCAGGGCCCCAGATGTGCCACCACTTGGCTCTCTACCAGGCTCTCCCACCAGAGCCTCCCCCCCTCCCTGGGCAATTGTGCAGAGCTGCTTGTGTGTCCTTGGCAGTGCCTCCCCCCTTCAATCTCCTTCCTTCTCCATCTCCTTCCTTTCCCCTTCAATCTTCCTTCCTTTCTTTCTTCCATCTCCAACTCCATCCCTTCCCCTTCAATCTCCCTCTCCTTCCTTCCTTCCTTCCTTCCTTCCTTCCTTCCTTCCTTCCTTCCTTCCTTCCTTCCTTCCTTCCTTCCTTCCCCCTTCAATCTCCTTCCTTCTCCATCTCTTTCCTTTCCCCTTCAATCTTCCTTCCTTCTCCATCTCCTTCCTTTCCCCTTCAATCCTCCTTCCTTCCTTCCTTCCATCTCCATCCTTTGGTGGGTGTGAGAAGGTGGCCGGCAGCTCCGAGGTGCGTGGATCCTCCGTGCAGCTTTCGAGACCCCGGATGTGCTGCTGCTTGGCTCTCCACCAGGCTCTCCGCCAGAGCCTCCCCCCCCGGACAATTGTGCGGAGCGGCTTGTGAGTCCTTGGCAGCGTCTCCCCCCTTCAATCTCTCTCTCCTTCCTTCCTTCCTTCCCCCTTCAATCTCCTTCCTTCTCCATCTCCTTCCTTTCCCCTTCAATCTTCTTCCTTTCTTCATTTTTGAGCAAGGAAGAGTAAGCTTCTCCAGCGATCATTGCTATATTGTTTTTGTGATTAATCTCTATGCTTTCCCTTTCCAGAGGTGTGATCTCTGGTTTAAGGTTGCTTAATCTCATTTATACAGAAGTAAAAACAATTTCATCTCATTTTATCAAAGAAGACTGACAAATGTTTGTTAACCTGGCTCATTAATTACTATTTAAACAACTTTTAAAAATATGATCAGCAAAACAACTCATATAAAGTCATGACTAAGACTAGTGGAAGTTTGAAGGATAGTTCTCCCACTCATCCATATTTTAACTTTTTTCTAAGTGGTAGACATAAAATGTAAAATGAGTTTTAATTTGAACCCAGAACTCTTATTCTTGTTATTCTAAAGTTTCTTACTGTAGATATATACATCCTTGGTTTTTTTTCAAGTTATGATAACATTGTGCCAAAAATATTAACAAAAATGGATAAGAATCATATTGCTCATCCTTTCAAAAGGACCATTTAAGAAAGTTATTTTTCCTTATAATTATCTGATCTGACAGCCCTAAAAAGATCTTAATGAAAATGTAATGAACATTTATTAAAACTATATATAGTATGTGTCGTATAACAAGAACTTTTCCTCTCTTCCTATATACACAGATACCAACTATTAGTAATTTATTATTTACTATGCTGGCTATTTACTAATTGTTCTTTTGAAGGTAACCACAAATTCATTACTATCAATGCAGAGAATAACTGAGGCCTTCAAAAACAGTTAACAAGTCAATTACTTGAGAGGTAAGCAAACAAAAAGATAAACAAGTAGGAAAATGACATGCAAACTTTCAGGCACAAGAAAGAAACTTCTGGTGTCTTCTGAAACAGAACCATCTCATATACCAAACTATATCAGTTTGGTAAAGTCAGAAATTACAAGAATGGAAATCTAACACATTGAAAAATAACAGTTCAACTCGGTCTTGGTCACATTCATATTTTCCATGCTTGTATTATTTTATTTCTATACTTATAAAGATCTGAATTGTGCAAGATATGGTATTCTGTGATACACACTATGAAATGTGTAATATGTAATGGAATGTGTGACTGACCTTGGGGAAAGGGGAACAGATGCTTCCTAGGAATCAGTCATTGATCAGAGAAAGAAAGTTAGGAAGGACCCACCCACATAGATCAAGCAGTTAAAAGTGATAGTGGGTTTTACTTTAGTCTTAGTTCCCTGTCTGGTTTACTTGGAAGGCCTGAGAAAATGAAAATTGAGCTCTGAAGAAACAAGATAGGAAGATATTGATGCCTTTGAATTTTGACAAGACTCCTGAGGTTAAGGCACCAGGCTAGAAAGCAGGAGACTAGGAGTTCAAGTTCCGCCTTAGCCCTGAAAGCCATCTGGATGTCCTCTCATTCTCTCTCAGCCCAATCCACCTCACAGGGTTGTTGTTGTGGGCACAATTGGAGAAGGAAGGTGTGGTGGATATGTTTGTCACCTTGAGATTTGTAACAACAATAAAGGCAAACAAACAAATAAATAAAAGCATTATATATGCATAATTGTATCTTATTGCTTCAGTCCTGATGTATTCTAGGTGGTGATCTTAAAAGGATACCTAGAGAATTGTTTCCTGAAATTCTTGAAAAGAAAAATTCTGGGACAATTTGTAATGGTACAAATTGCTGTTAATATATTAAACACATGGCAGAACACGAGAAAAAAACTATTTAAAAGGAAGTTGTTCTTCTAGCTCTGTTGATTATTAAGACAATGCTGACTCCACTTGGCTGTGTGAAAAAATGTTTAACTCAGAGTAAGGTTTTGAACAAGTGACATTATTTTAAAAGTAAGAGAAATCTTGTAAGCTAGCCCGTTTTCATTTAGGTTTGTAGTCTTG